AAAAAAAACATGATTCACAAAACTTTTGAAGGTTGAGTTAATTAATTTATTGAAATATCTCTATTGTAAATCATTAGAAACTTGAGCGAGTATCCATTTCATAGATTCATTGATTTTATATCAAAAATATACGGGTAACTAGATATGTGAGAATAATCGAAGCTTAGTCATATTCATTTTAGAATGTTTTGAAATAAATACGTACTTAAGAAAAAAACAAAAATATTGACCTTTTTCTATGAGAAAACAGGATTAACTATCGGAAAGGATAGGTTAATCATAAGTAAAATTTGATAAGATTAATGAATATTGAAAAAGAATTGTCATTTTTGAGATTATGACTATTGTACTGAACTTTTCATCTCAGATAAATTATTTTGTACACGATCGAATAACATAGATAAAGCTTATTAGATGAATATTTTTTTTTCAAAATTTGAAAATTCATTATGATTATACATTTGTTACGAATACAGATGGATTTCGGTCTTAGTTTTCATCAGTTGATATCGATTCATGTCGTGAAAATCTCCGATTAACGGTCCGATAAATCACGACTCTTGCATTTGATTTAGTTTTTGTTTTAATCTTACTTCATGAATATTTTTAAACTCTCTTTTTCATAAGGAATTCGAACTTGAATAGTTTTTCTCTTGCCGAGTATTTGAAACTTCAGTGAATTTCGAAGTGTCTCAACATGCTCGAGCAGTAATCGATAGAATTTAGTTTTACGAGTACTCGAAATTCAATGACTTTTGATTGACTCAAAATCGAAAGCGAACGAAGGAAAAAATTTTTTTTGTTCTCGATTTTCCAACCGTTTATCGTACCTATCGTATACTTAATTCTATTAAAAAATGTTCGAATTATAACGAACTGAAATATCAACGATCATTCTTCTTTTTTTTTCAGTCTCACCTAAAATGTCGTTTTTCTGGTTCATGTATTATTGATATTTATACACGTCGTCAATGTACATATTGTCGATTAAAAAAATGTTTTGATATTAAAATGCGTAAAGATTGGATTCGTACTGATGAAGAAAAACAAATAAGACAATTTATAAAATTAACAAAAGAACAAAAGAAAATAAATGATCAACAATCTCTTATTAATCTTCCATTAATTGCACGAAAGAAAAAACGTTTAATGATAAAATTAAAAAGTCAAGAACTTATTGTTAAACCAGTAAATATAAATAATTGAATAGTATTTATCGGTTTTCTTTTTTTTAATCTTTTCTTGTTTAGATCTATAAAATGAGTCATTTTGGTTGTAATCATATTTTACATGATGACGATCGAATATTATTAAATAATATAAATAATGCTTATGAATCCGTAGTAGATAAAAATGATTGTTCTTTTATTAACAAATATACATCATCAACATCTTTTACACAATTTATCAATGATGAACGTATTGTACATGAGACATTAATTAAATTTTTAAAATTAATACCTGAATTTAAACAATTAGATATACATGATCAAATTTTATTGATCAAATCAAATTTTATTAATATTATACATTTACATCGTATATTAATAGAAAATTTTCAAGATTGTCCAAATATTGGTAAACATATGTCGAAATGGATAGATAAAGATTTTCATAATCAAATGGCTCGAACACGTCAATATTTCTATCGTTTTATAAATTATCCAATATTATTAAAACTTACATTAATTGTTTTTATTTTTAGTATTAATTTATCTGCATCATGTAATAGTAATCAAACTTATGATTATAATAATAAGAGAATATTATATGAATTTCAAAATTATTATATAACTATTCTTTGGCGTTATTTAAATTATTTATTTAATGAAAAACAAGCAATACGAGCAATGGAAACTATTGTTACACAAATTTTACGTTATCAATTATTAATGGTTATAATGGAGAATTCTATAAGACAAAGTCCAGATTGTAATCAATTTCATTCATTAATGCAATCTATATTTGGACTTAATTAATAAATATTAATATTTATTTATTGGATAAATGTTGTTTTATTTGTTAAAATTGAAGAATAAAAAAATTTATAAATTATAACTACAGGGATATATATATATATATATGTACAATAAGTTGTATAATAATATATTTTGTTTGTTTTTCGTGTAATTATTAATATTGTAAAAGAATTTCAACAGATTCTTGTGCGTTTATTTATGTAGAATAATGATTGAAAGAATTTTGCAATGAAATATGATTAATAATATATGAGACTACTTAGGAAAATTCTCATTAGTTCTGCAACATATAGACATCAATTCTTGTAAAGTATGTTCTTGCAACAGTTCTGCATTCCAATGCTTCGATGAACATTGGTGACAATGTCTTAGTATTAAATAAACAAAAATCATATTGTTTGTAAAAGATCTCCCTTGAATCTATCTTCTCATCTATATGATGAATAATATGAATCGTTATTTGATATAAATCAATCATAGCAAAATAGAAAAACTTATTATATTAAAAAAAAAAATTTAAACTTATCATTAAAGAAAATTGTAAGGAAAAAAAGTGTCAAGACTGGCAGGAGGAAGTTCAATGTCTTAAGTAAAGCGGAACTTACGCCGATATCTTTAGTCCAGTGATCCTCTAAGTAATGTAGTCAAAAGCTTTTTAACACTTCAAAAAGTTCGATCATAAGGTTAATTGGTCATTCATTGCGAGTTTCAATCAATGTTTTATACATATTATCAATATGAATAAAAGGGATATGCATTGTGTCTAACCCCTTGTATAATGTCATAACCGCTTTCCACCATTGCCTTTTTACCACTTCAGTGTTGAGTCATATTCGTCTCTCTTGTTTTCGATGACTAACCATATTCACCATGTCAATATTGCATTTTGATCAGAAAGTACAATTGTCCTGATTTACTGTGCATGACATTTTTTATGATGGATATTTATAATGCTTCATTATACTTCGATAGGTTTGCTTTCTCATTTATTTTTGTTCCTTGATGATTCATCTATTTACATTTATATTAGGCCAACAGACACAGCCAAATTTTTTTTCTTATACGATTCTATTATAACGCATTACTTGTCAGAAATCAAGAAAAAATATCATAACGAGTGTCATATCCTGTCTATTAGTCATATAGTGATTTAATCAAGTGAAACAAAATCAATGTTGATTTATTCGTAAGTTCGAACGTTTCACTTTGCTCGAAATAGAATTACATTAATTTCTTCTTTCTTCTTTTTTTTTTGTTGAAAAATTTCACATGAAATCAAACAGAATACAAACGTATCGATTTATTCGTTGTTTGAATAATATTATAACATGCAAAAAAACGATATAAAACTTATTGAAATATAAATAGTATAGATATTGATAATAACAACCCATGATATCAAGTAATCAATATTGGAGTCATATGTCATCATTTAATTTTGATGATTTATTTTTATTCCCTGATGATATAATGGAAGAAAAGACAACTTCATCATTTGAAGTAAATCATTTAAATTTATGCTACGTATTTTTATTGAATAAGAGTTTTTTTTTATTTTCTCGTTAGACTGATCAATATCAATTACAAACATTATCAAACAATAATTCAACACAAGAATATCAACTTTTAAATCTTGAATGTCGTGTTTGTGGTTCTCCAGCTCATGGTTATAATTTTGATCAAATTACTTGTGAATCATGTAAAGCATTTTTTCGTCGAAATGCATTACGAGATATGGTAATAGCATTCGAATGATTAAAAAAACAAAATTTACAAACTTGTAAAAACTCTCTAGTGAAAATCTAAAAAGACTTGTACTCATAGCTTATCTTTTAGAGTTATGACCGTTTTATCTGAACTTTCCATCTCACGAAGGAAGTTCTCCAACTGATAAATCACTTTTGAGTTGAGATTATATGTATATTATGTAGATCCAAATGAACTATGAATATCCGAAAAAGAGTTTCTGTTCTTACCTTATTGATATGGAGATACTGCATATGTAAGATATTTTTTTAAATAAATGCTCCTTCTCAGAAACATCGAGCAATGCTTGCCGCTATGGAAAGTTTAAGCTAAAATTAGAAAATCACTTTTTTCGTTACTACAGCATTCCTTTATAATGGTTATAACTCTTAAAGGATAAAATATGCGAATAAATTCTTCTGGACTTTCATTAATCAGTCTCACTCAGTCCTACATATATACTAAGTGTGAGTTTCCGACAGTTGAACATGGTTCCTTGTTAAGGTCAAATCTTTCTAGTCGTATAATTGAAAAACAAACGTTAGACTTGGATATAAGCAAAGGGACAATAACCATACCTTAAATAACTAGTAATTGTCACAATAGTCTAGAAGTTCTATTCAAAAATTTTCGAATAACAACGAAATGATATCTCAACGATAATTCTTTTTTTTTCAGTCTCAGTTAAGATGTCGTTATTTGGGCTCATGTATTATTAATAATAATACACGTCGTCAATGTGCATATTGTCGATTAAAAAAATGTTTTGATATTAAAATGCGTAAAGATTGGATTCGTACTAAAGAAGAAAAACAATTAAGACAATTAATAAAATTATCAAAAGAACAAAAGAAAATAAATAATCTAACAAATCATCAACAATCTCTTGTTAATCTTCCAATAATTGTACGAAAGAAAAAAACATTTTGATAATGAAATCAGCAAATCAAGAACTTGCTGTTAATCCAATAAATACAAATAATTAAATACTATTTATGATCTTTATCCTTCCTATCTAGATTTATAAAATAAATTGTTTTGGTTTTAAGTATATTCTAATATGATGACAATCGAACATTAAATAAAATAATACTTAGTAAATATACATCATCGACATCTCTTTCACAGTCTATTAAGGACGAAACTATTATGCATGAATCATTAATAAATTTTTTCGCATGTTTACCTGAATTTAAACAATTGAATATAAAATGATCCAGTTTTATTGATCAAATTTAATTTGATGAATATTATACATTTACATCATATAATGATAACATAATTTTCCAAACATGTCAAACTTGAAAGTTAAATTCAACTATGCAAATTATCAGTGCCGCAAATTCAGGTGGAGGAAGCGCTTTTCCTTGCTTAACTGATCTTTTATATCTACATCGCGGCGTGGGGGCGCGAAGTGTCCCCCCCCCCCCCCAAAGAGCTGCGTGTACACAGTATCTGCAGCATTCCATGTGATGAATGTAGCATCACAGATGATGCCTGTAGCATTCCAGGTGATGTATGTAGCTTTTCAGGTGATGCCTGTAGCATCTCGGAATAGTTGAATACTTCAATTCAAGTTTCAAGTTTGACACTACTGATTCCTTATTACATTTCTAAAAGACTAAGTAAAAGGATAGTGAAGAAATGTGCTCCAAAATAGATAGAATACAACAATTTCTCTGTAATCAGCAACAGCAGCTACATCGTGTTTCACATTTTGATTCCTTCGACATTGCGGTAATAGATTTTTTGCCGAAATAGTGTAGATTTTCACTATTGTATATGTCTGTAAGAATACTCTTGAAAATGATAAGATGTTTGTTTGAATTCTTTCAATTTGCTTGTGAATATTTTTGAAAATTATATTGATTAAAACTTGTTCGTTTTTTTTTTCTGAATCCACTTAAAACCTACTAAGAAACAAACTCTAATATTTCTCCTATTTTGAAATTTAATTTATTTCATTCTTCTCGATGAAAATGAACTGCTATTTCTTACATTTGCTTTTTCTTTTTGTCCTGTTTTTTTTAAAGTTAATTCACATACATGAATCCAAAACATTCTTAAGTTTTAGTTACTGATCTAATTCATTGAATATCAATTACTTTTTTTTACATCGAATATAACAAATTTCAATTAATTTATAAAAAGAACAAAAACATGCTTGTGATTTGCTTGAATGCAAAAATATTTAGTACACTTTATATAAAGTTTAATAGTATTGTGTATGTATGTCTAATTAATACGATGCGAAAATACAGTATTCATCCAAACATGAGATTGAATCGATACTATCCCTAAGGCGTTTTTTGTATAGATTTTTGTAGATTTTGTTTTAAAAGTTTGAGATAATTAAAATGAAGTTAGCCGGTACTCTCTCGCTGGATAAATAAGGTGTCGTTTTTCGAGAAAAAACACATCTTTTTAAAAATATGCAAAATCTTCTACTTCCTTCGTTTTTTTGGCTTCTGAAAATATTTTTTCAGATTCAGCATTAAAAGCTGAGTATAGAGAAGTTGTTAAATCGACGCTAGACCTGAAACTCTATTGATGGTGGCGCTTCGAATCGTGTGGAGTGAAATACGTATAGGTCGATTTTGTAAACGTATCTAGTTTTTGCACGTAAACAATGGAGCCAAATATTTTATCTCATTCTATTTACCATCCCACCCCCGACAACGCTACGAGTCGCTTTTTTTTCTTTCCTTTTCTTTGTTGAGAAAATCCAGCTTTTCTGTATTTTGGATTAAATAGGCAGAATTCGGTCTGTATTTCTCCATTTTCTTCATAAAAACGAAGCTTTCGTGCAATAATATTATCATATTCGGAATCAGCACAAAAAAATGAATCGATTGATGTGTGTTTTTGAAATTTCTATTAACTTTTATTTTTTGGTGAAAATTGCAGCCAGGTTTTTCGCCGAAAACTCGAAGAAAATTGAAGTCAATAGAAAATATTAAATTATACATCAGTCGGTTCAGTTTTTTTGCACTGATTCCGAATATGATAATATTATTGCACGAAAGCGTCGTTTTTATGAAGAAAATGGAGAAATACCGGCCGAATTCTGCCTATTTAATCCAAAATACAGAAAAATCGGATTTTCTCAACAAAGAAAAGGAAAGAAAAAAAAGCGATACGTAGCGTGGTGAGGAGTGGGATGGTATATAGAATGAGACAAAATATTTGGCTCCATTGTTTACGTGCACAAAACTAGATACGTTTACAAAATCGACCTATACGTATTTCATTCCACACGATTGGAAGCGCCACCATCAATAGGGTTTCAGGTCTAGAGTCGATTTAACAACTTGTCTATACTCAGTTTTTAATGCTGAATCGGAAAAAATATTTTCAGAAGCCAAAAAAACGAAGGAAGTAGAAGATTTTGCATATTTTTAAAAAGATGTGTTTTTTCTCGAAAAACGACACCTTTCAAGTATTTCGTATTTTCCAACCGGAAGGAAGTATTTACTAAGGCTAAAAAGTAGATTCTCGTGATCAAGAACTCTCGCTCTATCAAATGATGTGAAAAAACGGCAAAAAAAAATTTTTTACTCGAAATTCGCATTGCCGGCACCTTACTTTTATATATGTGCACCTAATGAATCCATAGTTTTCTTAGTAAGCATGCTCATACATATTAATGCAGCTTTCTTAGTAATGAATTTTATAATGACTGTTTTTCAGTATCTTTCTCGCTTCGCTGATCAACTGATTAATTAAAGCGTAACTTTGTTCGATGACAGCAACATTGTTCGTTTCTTTTCCAGATATTTTGATTTTTTCAAAATAGACATTCGAAGGTTCACAACCAATCGAAATATGACTTCCATCTAATCCTTCAAGTCAGCATAATCCAATAAGTGAGATTTAAATAATTTCTATAATGAATAATATATTATTTTTGATGTATATAAAAGTAACAATATTTAAAGAACAAATAAACAAAGACATAAAATCACGTGCTCAGTTATACTCGAAAGTAGAATCACCCAATAAACTTGTATTCAACTATCATAAGTTAAGAAACAAGAACACTCCTACCTTACCGTAGTTTCTGAGCTCTCCATACACACGAATTACCCACGAGAGCAGGTGTATATCACAACGCAGACAGTATACTATCGGATGAGTGATTCAAGACAAATATACGTCAGTGACTTGTCTAAGATCATTTCATGGTCGAAGATACCGAAGTTTGAACATAGTACTTTGCAGATACGTGTAGAACAATTTAATCACATAACTATACGCATCTATTTTGACTAAAGAAAAATCAATACATCATATGCTTATTATTAGACCGCGCAAATGTCCTGTGATTTTGTATCAGAATAATAAACACATTTTTTTTAAACAATTACTTTTAGTGTATTCTTAATGATTAAAATACAAAGTTAAAAATTGTTCTATAGTAATAAAAAGAAACTTCATGAGTTACAACTACTAGTACATCTTTTCAAATAAAAATAAATTGATCCATTCATCATAGTGATAAACAACAGTAGACATCTATTAAATACGTGTGACCTTCAAAAACAGTCCAATAAAAAATAGAGGAGAAAAAAAAAAGAAAAAGAAAAAAATATTGTCGTTTTATATAAGACTCTATTGAAATATTTTATATGACAGGAAGAAAAATGAGGCTAATAAACACCTAATTCACATTGTTTATTTCTTTTTCTTAGTAAGTTGATTTTCTTCACTTAATCGTTTATTTCAACATCGAATATCGTACTTTTCGATCATATATATATAAAAAAAAAAAAAAACCAGAATATTTTGAAAGAAACTATTTACTAAAGGATTAATATAA